CACACACACACACACACACACACACACACACACACACACACACACACACACACACACACACACACACACACACACACACAATGGCTATCAATGAAATGAGTGGGTGCGGCTTGCATCTGTCTGATCAGCACCCGCGCTGCAGTTGGTGGCATCGCCCTGGGCTCAGCACCTGAAGCCGTCGCCCACGCTTGCCATCAAGGAGGTCGCCGACCAGCTCAAGCTATCAGGTGCAGCGCCGACCGATTCCTTGATCGCACACGCACACACGCACACGCACACACGGGCTCATATGGGCTGAGCGACGCACAGGCGTGGAGGTGTTCGACTTTGGCGTGGGCGAGATGAACCCGTTCGTCCCGGTGCCCCTCGCCCTGCGGCAGGCGATCGCCGCCGCCCAGCTGGTCGAATCACACAGCCACTACACCGCCGCCCCCGGTACTCCGCACACGCACACGCACACGCACGCGCACGCGCACACGCACACGCACCCAGAGCCGTCGTACGCGGAAACTCAGAGCGCTGACCACGCTTGGCGCAGGCGACAACTCACTGCTCGAGGCGCTGAGCGAGGACTTCCGCAGGTTCGGCATGACCTACGCGCCGCACGAGATCGTCATCTGCCCAGGACCCAAGGTGCGATGGCGATGACTGCTGTCATGAAACCAAACGGTGGACTGAGCCCCGTTGATGTGTGCTGCCAGGACGCCATCTTCAAGGCGTGCATAGCGCTGGTCAACCCGGCAATGCCCCGCAACAGGTACGACGCCCCTAGCTCGGATGGCCCAGAGTGTTGCTGACACGCACGCACCGCACACACCACCGCACACACCACCGCACACACCACCGCACACACCACCGCACACAACAAGGGTGGTTGCATTTGCGCCGTCCTACGAAGCCTTCGAGAACGTGCCCCCGCTGACCACCGGCAAGCCCGCCATCATCTTGCCCACCGACGACCGCTTCTTCCCCAAAGGTGCCGGCTACTTGCAATACTTATTATTTTATTTATTGTTTGTTATTTATTTATATTATTTACCCTCCCCCACTGTGTTGGTTGGCCAGTCGACGAGTTGGAGCGCCTGCTGGCCACCGACCCAACGATCGCCATCATCATCGTCAACTCGCCAAACAACCCCACGGGGGTGGTCTACCCCGCATCCCTCATCGCCGATCTGGCCCAGGTCTGACTTCATCATCGTCACCACCATCGCCTGCTCCCCTTTGCAGTGCAGCTGATGGCGTGCGCGCGTGCGGTGTGCGCGGTGTGGGCGTGTTTGTGCATCAGGTGATCGGCAAGTATCCGCAGGTGGCGGTCATCTCCGACGAGAGCTATCGAACCGCCATCTACAGTGGTGCGTCGCGAGCCCTCGCGCGAGTTATTATATTGTCTTTCATCTCACTCACACGCGACCGGCCGCAACGTAGACGAGCCCTACAGCAGCATCGCGCACCACCTCCCGCTCCAGACGCTCGTCGTCGCCGGCATCTCCAAGGAGCTGAGCTCCACCGGCCTTCGCCTGGGTGCGCACCGGCCACACACGACACACACGACACACACGACACACACGACACACACGACACACGGCACACACACACGACCACGACACACACACGACACGCAACGCAACGCTACCGTGCGCTGTTGTGTTGACCATGCGTGGCGGCGACGCAGTCGTTACACACGAGAGATGAAAGAAAGAGGCCACTCGTTACTCACCCCACCACCCGTTGGGCTGTCTGACACCCGCGGGCCCAACCAACCACAGGCTGGGTGGCGGGACCCGCGCAGATCATCCGAGTGATCGCCAACGTGCACGGCAACGCCACGTCGTGCGTCAACCTGCCCGTGCAGGTCGGCCTCGCCCAGTTCCTGCGGTACCGACCGACCAACCGACCCGATCTACCAGATTCAGCTGGCCCGACTGAAGGTCTCACAAACGCGCAGGGCCGAGCGGGACATGGAGAGCCGCAAGGAGATCAAGAGACAGCTGCAGCTGCGGCGCGACATCGCCCTGGAGCTCTTCTCCTCGCTGCCTCACCTCAAACGCTGTGCGTCTCTGTGCGTGCGTGCGTGCGTGCGTGCGTGCGTGCGTGCGTTATGTAGTGCACACGAGCGTGTGCGCTTTCTCACGGTCTTTTTGTTGCGCGCAGGCAAGCTTACGGCGAGCCAGGGCGCGTTCTACTTGTTCCCCGACGTCACGGCCTTCCTCGACACCCGCGCGCCATCGGTCGACGAGGCCGACGCGGCGGAGGTGATTCGCACGGACAAGGAGCTGGCGCTGTACCTCCTGCGGGCGGCCAAGGTGGTGGCCATCCCCGGCAGCGAGTTCCAGCGGGCGGGCCACTTGCGCCTCTGCTACGCGCGCGACGAGGCCACCCTGCGCGCCGGCTTCCAGGCCATGGACGCCGCCCTCGCCCGCCTCAGCCCCGCCAGCAAATAATAAAACAAACATTATAAATCGATTAATCAAATAATAAATATTGATTAAATTAAATTAATAAATAATAATCACGTGTGGGAGGAAAAAGACAAAAAAATCAAATTAATCACAAAAAGAAGACCACGAACAAAAGGAAGAGGATGATGCCGACCAGGCCCATGATGATGAGCCATGACGTTCGTGCTGGGTAGAGGGAAAGAACAACTCGTCAGGTGAGGTCACAGTTGAGTACAAGGAAGGGGAGAGGCGAAGCGTACTGCTGGAACGATCGATGAGTTCGCTGATCTTCTTGATGCCGGCCGACACGCGGTTGGTTGTGGACGCCACTTCATTCTGAAACTTGTCCAGCAGCCTAACCACAAAGACCCACCCGCCACCCGGGTCTCAGTGGCTGTCGACCGCAACCGGCCACCCACCACCCAAGCCACCCACCACCCACCACCCGCCACCGACGAAGAACACGACTGCCCAGGAGGAGGGAGAGGTGCGTACTCGTCCTGGTCTTCGAGCTCCTCGTGAATGGTGAGGGACATCTCGCTGAGCTTGCCCAGACCCTTTTCCAGGTGATCCAGGTGCTCTTCCTCCTCTTGGCGCATTTGCTAATCATCACATCATCATCATCACGCATGCGATGCGGTCAGTGCTCATCGCACACACACACACACACACACGCGCGCACAACACGCGCGCGCGGCACACGTCGCACGACACACGACACGCACTGTGCGTAAGAGTGAAAAGAAAAGGGGTGCGGACGTACGGTTTGTCTGACCTGCTGGGCTTGGATGAACGCCTCGTTGTCGTCGCGTATGGCCGCCTCCAGCTTCTCCCTCGATGTTCGCGGTGTGCCCATCGTCGTCGGAATCAACGACTGCGTCGCCGCCACGCATGGTCAACACAACAGCGCACGGTAGCGTTGCGTTGCGTGTCGTGTGTGTGTCGTGTGTCGTGTGTGTCGTGTGTGTCGTGTACCGAGCGTTGGTCGCGCTCGACCTTGGCCCGGGTGACGGGGTTGTCGATGTCCTTCTTCATCTGGGCCACCGTCGCGCGGGTGTCGGTAACGAACTTGCGTCGGTCGGCCACCTCCTGCTCGTTCATCCGAAACTTGGCCCGATTGCCCTCCACGATACGTACGACTCAGAGTTAAGGTCACTTCACCGCGCGTACGACTATGCGTGCGTGTGCGTGTGCGTCGTGTGCGTGTGTTGTGTGTGCGGTGCGTGTCGTGTGGGAAGAAAGAAGGGAAGTAGAGGATATTGATGGTTTCGTCGAGGTCGAGGAGGTCCCAGTCGATGCTCTTGAGGACCCGCTTGAGTTCGTGGGTAGTCCACTTGAACTCCTCGTCCTCCGCTGTGTTGGTCGTGTCGAGTAGCTCCTGCCATCGCCCGTACAACGTGCGCGCACCATTCACGCTCTGAACCACTTCCCTGTGTACGCGTACACCGCACACAACCACACAACAGCCAAACACGCAAAAACGATGCAAAGATCAGAGAAGCCGCTCGAATGATGATGGCAATCAAATGTAATGAAAGCCGAGAAATCAAAATGAAGCCGGAAGAAGGAGCGTACTCTTTTACAACGTAGAAGGGATCTTGCA